AGGTCTTAAAAAGTAGCATGTGGTTTTTCACATTGCCTTGTCTGACACACTAACCACTGTAAAAACAATTACCTGAAGTAGTTTGAACCACGCAAAAATACTCACCAATTAATCCTTTATTTACTACAAGTTTCTGGTTTATTGGGGTTGTGTTCTAGACAATTTCTTCTCGAGGTGCGGTATATTCTCTTTTCCTCTTTTTTTTTTGTCTTTATGCTAAGCTAGGCTAATTGTCTCTGGGCATTATGTCAAATTTAACACACAGAAACAACTGCAAATACATTTTTTATCCTACTATAAATCTGAAAAGTTCTTCAAAACTGTTGAGATAATTCATTTTGCATGGCCAGTATGAAAGCAGTATGGTATGAAGATAACACAACACGGTTTATCCAATGGGTGTTAAGTGGGTTTTTAAAGCCTAGACATGTGGTGTAGTCTTGTGATTTGCAAGTTGCTGCCAAGGCCGTGTCTGACAAATGTTGGGGTCTAATTTGGATTCCAACCGGACTTCTTCTGCTGTGATGGCTGCAACCGCCATTGGAAGCAAACACAATCGATTAATGTATGCCAACTTCAAAGTGCTTGCCTTTTTATTCCAACAGGCTCTGATTCATTTTAAAGTCTGGACTGTAATGTACTCTTCAAATTCACCTAACTTCTTGGACATAAATAGCCATTTATAACACGATAAACACAGTAGTTGTTAGTCTAAAGCCACTTCAACTAGTTTATGTGTTTGTTGTTGTGTTGTGTTAAATCTAATATAACTATTCATAACATTAAAGTCAAAGAATAAAACCCAAAGAGCAGTGGTAGGCCAACATGTCCTGGTGCATTAAAGAACAAAATTACTCTTTTTTTTTTAATCAGTGGAACCTGTGAAGAGAGCGATGTAACAGCTGTTTATTGTTTAATAAAAAAAGAAAAAGAAAATAGGTAGTTGTTAACAAAAAGGTCTGCTTTGTAGGGATCATTTCCTTAATTTAGTCAGAACCTTTAGGATAACAAGACGAGGCTGTCAGTGACAAAAAAAAGAACTTTTGAGTGGACTTTGATTGCGTGCGTTAGCAGCTGAATGCAGCCACTAAGGTCTGTCTCATTGCTGCCGTATGAGGGGCAAACAACTGGAGTGAACCAGATTTTAAAAAGTGGCTCAGTGGGAGAGTCGGTCGTCTCTCAACCAGAGGGTCCCCATGCTCCTGCAGCCGCATGTTCGATGTGTCGCTGCTTCGTCATGTGGCTGAAAAATGTGTGTGAATGGATCAGTTAACACAGATGGTCACTTTACACAGCAGCCTCTACCATCAGTGTGTGAATGTGTAGGTGTGACCTGCGGTGTAAAAGCACTAGAAAAGCGCTACACAGGCCAAGTCTATTTAACGAATCACTGATTCTTTTTATCATTCTGGCTCCAAGATAAAAATAAATAAATAAAAAAGGTCCTGAACAGAAGCTTTGACAGTCATGAGTGAGGAGGCTGACAGAGCGATGTGCTTTGTCATCGTGGCTCATGACACTGAACATTGACAACCAGAGAGGGAGGGGGCCTCTGAGCACACAGTATAAGGGAGCAACAGGTCGACAGAAAAACACCCAGCAAACTGCTGACAGGCACGTACAGAAAACGACATGAACCAAACGGGCTTGTCTCTGATTTTTTTTTTTTTACTTTCAAAACGTGATCATCAGCTCTGTCTTAAATCATGATGCAATAAAACCCAATAATGATCACCTGAGCTCTCTGTGTGTGTGTGTGTGTGTGTGTGTGTGTGTGTGAAGTTTGAGTGTCTGTCACTGATTGACTAAACAAAACAAGAAGATTATCAGAGGCCATGTGTGGAAAAAAATGTTTCTTAGAAGAGTATCTGTGATAAAAGGTTGAAGGTTTCCAATAATACAAAGTACAAAAGCAGGCTGACCTGGAGATAATCTACTGTACTTACAGTGACACATTAAAGATGTTCAAAGTGATTTCTACAGCACTGATAAGAATTCAACACCGTCCTGCTTCAGTACCGCCTGAGGGGAAACTTTCTGAAGGGTTTACAGTATGAATCAAAAAATGTTTCTCATGGGGCTAGAGCGGGCGCCCCATGTATGGAGGCTGTAGTCCTCAAAGCAGGGCGACCCGGGTTCGAATCCGACCTGTGGCTCCTTTCCTGCATGTCATTCCCCACTCTCTCTCTCTCCCTGATTTCCGACTCTATCCACTGTCCTGTCTCTCCAATAAAAAAGGCACAAAAAGCACAAAAATACATCTTAAAAAATGTTTCTCAAAGAATTTAAATCACCGGTCTAAAGCAGCTTCAAACTTACACCCTAAAGATCAAAGTAAAGACAGTCTTCTTGACTAACACACTGATATCTATCTATTGAACGGTATATAGTTAATGGGCTTAATTTACTTAATATGTCACATGAAGGAGAACTTCCAAAGGGCTTTGTGTTCTCGGCTATGCTTCCACAGGGTCAGTGTGATGAAATCCAGCCTCCCTGCAGCCTCCGGCCTTCTGATATTGCACGCATTGCAACGTACACATGCAGCAGGCCTGACAGTGTTTCTTGACTTTTAGCGCTGTCACAGAATTCCAAAGTTCAAGATCCTGCAATAAACACTTCAAAGGGACCTTTAAATTGGGTTATTGTTCCTTGGCAAAGGTTTTAAACTCAACCCCCTGCAGCTGATTATAGCCTTCTGATCATAACTCAGTCAAAGCGACGCTCCTGAATTTTCCCCTGACTTCATCCATTGATATCTACACAGTTTCTGCATTGATTTGGATTATTCAAACTGCATTTTAAACTATGGCCTCTTCTCTTTCTTTTGCATTTTGAACTTTAAAGTCTTGTACAATGTTACCGAGTGTAAGAAGAATCCAAACTGTACACTCTGCAGCCCCTTTTGCCATAAAAACCAATTGTTGCTGCAGAGTGCACAGGCTGGGATAATCTGTTCTGACAGGCTTTGTAGTAAGAAAGTTAATGAGTTTAGCCATGAATTGCTCATTGTTTTCCATTAACATCTTTGTTATTCTGCTCCTAAATATGAAGCCAGTGTCCCTTTAAGACAAGCATGTAGTCCTCCTGTCTGCAGGGCACAATGCACTTTCCCTGTACATCAGTTTAGGAAACAGTGCTGCAGCCAAACCCCCCCCACCCTCCTCTCTGCTCACATCTGCACCACAACTTGTAAACAAGTTTAAAAGCTGCCTCTGTGTGCAGCACCCAAACTTTTCTTACCTGCCAGGATAGCCTTGCCAGGATGCGTGAATTTGGCTTTCCCCGCCGGAGCTGCAGCAGCCAAACACTGCGGTCTGAAAAACGGGCTCACGAATCTGGGCTGCCCGGACATGACTGACTTGCAAACCCCCTGGCCTCCAAACTTTTAACTTTCTGAGCTGGATTACCGCAAAACAGCCTTCAAGCCCTCATGCAGTGTGGGGTGCTTTGTGCAGCAGGAGTCCGGGTGCAAACATTCAGAGGGCCAGGCAAGGCAAGGCAGCAGCGGTCGAACATTGGACTCTGGCTGCTGATTCTGGACTTGATAAAAGTCCGTGCTGGAGTTCCCTCCGCGGCTCACACAGGCTGATAGCGTCGAGTCAGTGCTCATTCCGGGCGGGGCAGCAGCAGCAGCAGCAGCAGCAGCACCACGATACTTCCCCCTCCTCCCCAACACGGAAAAAAACGTCATGTTTGTCATAAACATTTAAGGTGGACCGGATGGATTTTCTGCACAGCGTCGTTTGTCGTCGCTAATCTTCCGGACTACGTTCATTGCGCCAGTTCGCCAGTAGAGGGCGCTGTTTCCCAAGTTACCCCTGCAGAGAAAATAATACACTTTACTGAACTGAAGTAGCCTACAATATAAAGCTTATCTACATCAGGGAGGGGCAACTTCGTTCACAGCAAGGGGCCACGTTCATTTAATTCTCACTGCCAGGGGGCCAAATTCTAGAATACAAAAAACGATTACAGTCAATTATGTCTCAAATTGAACTCAACACATACCAGCGATCAAATATTATTATGGACATATTTCTGGTTTTCATGATTTCATGGCAGATTTTATCATGTTTTCTTCATGTTTCCAATTAATTGATATGTAAAATTGACCTGAGGGCCACGTTGAGGGTTGATGGGGGGCCGCCAGTTGCGACCCATTGAAGGGTCCTCAACTCTCAGAAACCAAACCATCACTGTGAATATACATATATGTATATATATATATATATATATTTAATTGAAATGATAATATACGCACACTTATTTATGTAAACACTGTAACCGACATCTTAATTGACCCATCTGTCACATGACTTCATTTTACTTATCATGTTACTTCAGCATCTTTTGCACTATTCACCACTGCACTGTTTCATATTTAGTCATGTAAATATTAGTCCTTTCTTATTATGTTTATTGTTGATGTTTAATGTTGTACCTGTACATAAGAGAGCACAGTTCACCCAAGTTAAATTCCTTGTGTGTGTAAGCATACCTGCCAATAAATCTGATTCTGATACTTTGTTGTTGTATTTGTATTATATCTTTGCTTTAATACAGAGTATAACTTCTGTACAGTTTATTTTAAATCACTTAGCTGTTACTACAACTTATTTATTTTTACTTTTACTTTTTTTTGTACTTTTCTACTCTTTTTTTCTTACAATGCTTTTCTATTTTATATATAATTTTACTTTTTTTTGTGGAAGCTGACTCAGGGAGAAACGCACAAAAATTCCAATGTACCTGCACTGTCCTGTACCTGTGCAAATGGAAATAAACATCTATTACATTCTATTCTAATAATATTTATCCTCACAAATATACATTTTTTTAAATATAATTCCTTTATATACCTTCAATTAAACAATCCCACCTGAACAAAACTGCCTGCGTGATGTTGTGCCACTTGGAGTACTCTCTTGTCTTTTTATCGACTCTTTGTTCGGGTTCAGCACTGCTACCGCGCATGCGTCATATGTCTCCTTCATTGTGCCCTGTTCCCCTTATAGACGCTGCTAAAGCTAAGCTAGCTGTCAATCCACTCAGCAGCATCACCGCCAGGGACTCTCCAGCCTCTCTTCAGGACCCCCCCTTCTCCTGAACACTTTTAAAACGGTAAAAGAGATGCTACTTAACCCTAAAAACGACACGAAGCCTTTAGGATACTTTAATTATTCGTTTATAACACTAAAGCTTTGATAACTGTGACGTTTTCTCCTCCAAGGTTAGCTAACGTATAAAGTGCCTAGCGTGTGGAGCGCTTTAGCTAGCGGTGGATCTCTTATGTAATGATGTTTAGCCTTGTAATGCACAGTTTAATCCTTTCAAGGAAGCTGTGATAGTTTATTTTATTTACTGTCTTTTTAATTGTCTGTTAGTAAGTGTGTTACTACAGCTGTAATGTGTGCTACCCCCCCCGCCCCCCCACAAACCTCCTCACTGGCCCATCTGTTGTCCTTTGTCCCAAAAGAAGAGCTGCAGCATAAAGCACCAAAACCATTAGTCCTTCAGTATTGTTCACTTGGGACTGAGAGCCAGCTGTTCATGCAAAAAAAGGAAACTGCTCTGGTTATAGTGTGGATTTATTATCTTTAAGTGCAGCATCATGAGGAGGAGATCCAGGCCCTCTTTTTTTTTTTACAACCTTGACATGTTTGACAATCTTTGTTCTGCAGCTTGCTGACCTAATTTAATGCATTACACTTAGTATAATGTGCATTTCTTATATTTAATGTCAATGTGTGTTCATTTCTTGGTGCAGAAACGGATGCAAGAGCTCATTAGTTGTTAGCTCCCCTGCTGCATCTGAAGGAACAGCTTGTTCTTTTCTGCAGGAGCTCACATGCATCAAGGCTGATTAATCATATAACAGCTATTGCAAAGGTTAGGTATTAGAGAGGGGGGGGGAGATACTGACTTAGATATATGTTAAAGACTCACTGCCTTCATTCAGGATTAGCTCGGCTAGTAGTGCACCATCATGGAGGACTCAGACCTGCCCCTCCTGCCCCTCCTGCTCCTCCAATGATAATGATCAGAGAAGGGTTGTCTCACTGAAAAGAAAAAATACTCTTGCTCAGCATCACCAATTTTTTTTTTAAGTTTCCGTCCCTCTGAACCCTTAAGAACACACTTGACAAAAAGGTTCAGGAGGAATGTTGTTATTTTTTCTAATAAATTTAGAATAGAATAGAATTACTTTATTGATCCCAAACTGGGAAATTGTGGAGTTACAGCAGCAGGTTGTCCAAACACACAATATGAGTAAAAAAATATGTTAGCAAATTTAAACACAATATAATATTAAATACAAAATAAATAAGCACTAAAAATATCAAAACTAAGAATGGGAATATATACAACCAGGATTTAACTAGCATTACTAGTCTTAAATATGAAAGATTAAATATGGAAGATTAAATGTAAATGTGCAAGAACAGAGTTGTAAATGGACAGTATTGACATAGGGAGATGTGCAATCAGTGATACTTTAAGTTAAAGTGAAGGAGTGTAGACATGTTTGTGATGCAGAGTAAGAGTAGTGTGAGGGATTTTTAATGACTGCAACAAAAAAAATGTCTTAGGCAACTTATATTTGGTAATGTCTTTTTTTTATTACCAAAAAAATGCATGCAAAGTTTTGCACACTGTCTAAAATAGAAAAGTGGGTTTTGCAATGTGTGGGTAGAAACTTTTGGGCTAGAAATACAGTGGAAGATCTGAAGTTTATCTAAAGCTTTGGTCCTTTTTGATATTTAGGATCATTAAAATGCAGACATTGTATCCCTTTATAACATTTAATATTGAGAAGTATTGAAAATGTTCACATCCTTAGCTCAGAGTTGCTCACAGTTTATTTTTCTGATTGTAAATGTGGCTTAAAATGACTTTTATCTTTTGCAGCACAATGGCCGTCCCTCCTTCATACTCAGACCTGGGCAAGTCCGCCAAGGATATATTCAGCAAGGGCTATGGTGAGTTCTCTATTTTAACACGAGGAGTCAATTATTAACTGGACCTGAAACCAATCTGGTGTTTCAAGTGAGTCTTGCGGTTTGACTCCGGCTCGGTGTTATAAAAAGACGGATTGTAAGTCAACCTTTATTTCTGGTAAAAGGCAAAAATACATCTGCCTCCAAGTGACTTTAAATCTCTGCAGGGTTCAAATCAAATACTTGTATAGATAATGAAACATTTTAGACAAATCTTAAAGTGTAAAGAGTAAAGCAAGAGCATAAAACGACAAAGCAAAGATTAAAGTAAATGTGATTATTTCTCAAAACTTGACTTATAAACTTTGCATTCCCTTCATCCTGCATGTGAATATTGCTCACACACGTCTCTGTTTTATAATCTCCACCAGGCTTCGGTGTCGTGAAGCTGGACCTCAAGACCAAATCACAAAGTGGAGTGGTGAGTGCACGTCTTTCTTTAACCTGTTGTCATTTTCTCAATGCTGTCTGCCCCCCTTCATCTCTCTGCCCTCCTCTCCTGAGACTCCACAAAGCTTTTTTTTTTTTTACCTGCGACCCACAGCCTGAAGGCTCCCCGGTCTTCATGCTGTGCTGATGCCAACCCGCTTGGCTGAACTTGTTTCTCTGTTTCTAGAGAAACACGACAAGCCTGAGTCTGTTCATTTATTGCCTTCTGGCCTGTGTGTGTCTCTAACTGCTGCTCTGTCTCCATGCTGCTGCCTCCTGGACCGCTCGCGCTCTAATGTAGATGGTAAGATCGGTGTCAGAGCTCACAGCTGTTCATTCACATGATGACCGTCTCCATGTTGTCGCTAACAACTTTTTTCTTTTTGTAACATTTCTGTTATCACTTTCTTTTTTTTTGTCTATTCACACAGCATGAATATAACGTGTGTTTGGAACTTTAATTTCTGTTCATGTTTTGTCACATCATTCATCAATTCAATCACATCTGACTCTTTATTTCTTTGTTTTTCTCTAATTCATTTTTATGATTTTTTGTGTGTGTTATAAACCTGTTAAACTAATCACATCAGCCTCATCATTAAGTGCTAATGCTAACATGCTAAAAAAGCACTTTGTACATGTAAACATAATACTAGCAAACAGTCAAATTGTTAAACTTACTTAGCGTGATCACTATGAGCATGTTAGCATGTGAGCTTCACAAATAATCAAAATGTGATGAAATGAAAATCGCAGCATTGCAGAGTTCAACAGCCACTTGCAGAAGTTTCAAATTTAAATGACGGTAATGGGTCGTTCCATTTACATCAGAGGTCGGAGCTGAGAATGATGTCACACCTGAGTTAACTGCGCTCCACTTTTGTTGGTAACAAGTCGTAAAAGCAACATGGACGCCTCCAGGCGAGCTTATACCAGGCGGGAACAAAGAAACATGGCTGTTGTCCGCAGATAGAACTTAGATGATATTTTCAGTTGTGATCAAGCAGCATCCTCCGGTCTTGAAAAATGAAGCCAATGTGAAGTGCAAAATCCTGCAGTTTGTCGAGTGTCCACTAGAGGCTGGCTGCAGGAACACAGGAAGTCACACACATGACTGAGAAAAAAAAAAATCAGTTTTTACAGCATAAATAAAAATGTTTACAGCCTGGTACAAAAAACCAAACAGGTCTGATTGGTTGTTGTCATCACTGGCACAAACTGTACGGGTGTGATATTCATTTGATTTTATGAACGATACGTGTTATCCACAGTTTGGCACGTAGCTGACATGATTGACAGGCGGGCGTGGTGTAACAGTTTAACGTAAGGCTTAAGACCCGCCTCAGCTCTCAGCCTGTCGTTAGGCAGAGACAGGACGTCCAGCAGGGCGGCGGCTGACATCACTCAGGCTTTGTCCGTTAACATTCAGTCTATGGTCTATGATAGTCTATGATATTATTATGCAAAAACAAGATTAAGTTGCTTCTAAACACTTAAACATACGGCGCATACTTCACTATTGTTGCATGGAGCAGCCATCTTTACATTTTAAAATGAGATTCTCTAATAATTGTGTTCACCTGTAAGGGTTAGCTTCTGCTAGTTAGCTTTAAGTTCATGCTGTGTGTATTTATAGATTTGTAGCCATGTTGTTGTTTTTCTTTTGTCCTGCACTGTCCTCAACTTTGGGGCTGAATCCCGTTAACTCATTTCTTACATCACACACAATCAATCATGATGAAGGTTAATTCAGATTCCTCTTCTCACTTATGTTCGTTGTTTTCTGTCACAGCTCAGCGGGGCTTTGTGCATCCTTAGAAAAGAAAAGTAACAGGATTGTTAGTGGAGACTTCAGACTGATAAAAGCTCACCTGGTTTAACAATCCTTCACCCTGGGGCGCCGGTGGCCTAGTGGTTAGCGAGCACACCCCATGCACAGAGGCAATAGTCCTCTTAGATCTGTATCACAATATCAAAAATCTTAAAACCTTTTGTTGTTTTCCGTTCTTTTCCTTTTTGTCATCACGTGTCGATGTTGTCCTGCATGATTTAATGTTGTTCATATTTGTTCAGTGTGACACAGATTGTCCTGATTGAATTCATATTATTCTTATTAAGATGTTTTTTATTATGTGAAGATAAAAATTATTTTACGACAGATTAAGATGGTAAACTTTATGATGGGGAATATCTGTTTTTGGGAACTTAAGCATTTTGGTTAATGGGGGGAATATGCTCTTAGGAATAACTTTTCCTCTGTGTTTATTTAGGAAAGCCTTTTAAATTATAATAGCCTTTCTAAGGATTTTTCTCATTGTTTATAAAGGGCGTGACTTTTAAACACTCATTATGCTTAAAGGTGGAGTCAGTAGCTTTTTCCGTCGCAGCTTGTAAACACAACATTCAAACTGGGCCCTCCTCCTCAGCGTCTTCAGGAGCGCACACTCACTGCAGGACGTGGTGTGTACGATTACTACACATGTAGCTACACTGCAAGCTAACCGCCGGTGTATGACAGAAAGCAGACCAACTCCACGCCGCTGGGTGAAAGGTTCACCCTACGGCGGGGCAATATATCAAGTTTTTAAGATATATTGATATATTTTCAAACAACGTATAGGGTAAGACAACATGGTTAATATAGATAAAGTTTATGTTGCATTAAAATAACGTTACAGAGGTGCCAGGTCACTTTTTTCTCATCTCACTGATGATGACTGTCTGTCCCTCTTCACCCTCCTCCTCCTCTCTCTCTCTTTTATTGTATTTAAGGAATCAGGTAGTTTATATGTGTTTTCACTGTTAATAAAATACATATTGATATATATCGAGTATCGCCATTCAGCTGAACAATATTGAGATATGACTCTCACATTAACTGGTTTTAATGGCGTCCTATCGCTGAATTGTACCCACTCCTAAACTCACATGCTGCGCTGTCATTGGCCGGAGAAAACAAACCCACTCCCCACCCAGAAACGTGTCGAGCCAACCAAAAAAAAACAGAACATGAAAATCCAGTCAGAGGACACCACCACCACACATAAGTGATGATTGAGCGGCTTTACTTTTGTTTAAGTCTGTATTTTATATTTAGGTAAAAGCTCCTGACTCCACCTTTAAATATTCGGATCATTTGTTCATCAATCTATTCTTTTTACTCTCTGTTATTACTTCCTGTGAAGGATTGGCTCTGATGTAAATTAACGTTTCTCTTTCCTCCCGATGTGGCCTCCAGGAGTTCAACACATCTGGCTCCAGCAACACAGACACGGGGAAGGCGGCGGGGAGTCTGGAGACCAAATACAAGATGAAGGAGCTCGGCCTGACCGTCAACCAGAAGTGGAACACGGACAACACGCTGGCTACCGAGGTCACCGTGGAGGACCAGGTACCGACACACCCGTCTGACTGATAACATGACATTGTTTAAGTCTCACACAGGTGTGTGTTGACTCAAAGTGTTTCTTTCCCCACAGCTGACTCAAGGACTGAAGGTCGCCTTGGATACGTCTTTTGTACCGAACACGGGGTGAGAAAACATTTATTCTAAGGGTTTGTGATACGGTGCATTGTGGGACGTCATGAAACATGATGTAATCATTAACTGTGGGTCAGACCTGATATCATGGAGTCAGAGCACACAGTGTAACACCTCTCAGATTTAGTCTTTTGGTTAATAATTAGCTGCTGTTTTCACACATTCTTCTCTCAGACCTTCACTGGAAGTTCCATCCATCAACGATTTACTCTCCTCTTTATTTATTTTGTCTTTTAAGTAGCTTAAGAAATGCAGAGTGAATGTTTAAAAAAAAAAGACAGTTTCCCTAAAACAGGAGGAAGTGATGCTTTTGTTGGGGACTATTTTCAGTGGTGGATGAATCCATATTTGGCAAGGTTCTTAAGGATCATTGTTTGTTGTAGTTTCTAGGCATGTAAAAGTGAATCAGAACTACAATTTCTTAACATGAACTGTTGGAAACTGTCCAGTGCTAGAATTTCCAGCCTTCTTTTTTTGTCCGTTGCAAGAGAGCTTTCAAATGTTCACACGAGAACTGAGGAGCTTGAAGTTAAAAGCAAGAAAACTTAAAGATCCCATATTCTGCACTTTTTGGGGTTCATATATTTAATCTATGTTCCTACTTTTGTACGTTCACAATAGCTAAAGTTATAAAAAAGTGTCTGTTTTCATGAACTGCTCCCTCTCCGCTCTGAGTCCGTCAGCTGCACTCTGTTGAGCCCACACTGTTAGACCCCCCGTGGGCCAAGTCTGCTCTGATTGGTCGGCCTGTTGGCTCTGTCGTTATTGGTCAGTTGCTCAGCACGGTTCTCGGAAATGTCCCGCCTCTTTTTACCATATTGGGAATGCAGCCTCTGGCTCCGTCCGAGGGGAGCAAAAACATTAGCACCTTAGCACTACTGTGCTACCGCAGGCTACGGCATATCGTGGGCGTGCTACAGAAGTTAACGGGCGTGCAACATGCTGGGCTTGCCACAACGAGCCAATGGGCTTAGATCAGTGATCTCACACTGACAATGACGTCGCACTGACACATTTTTATCGAGGGGGGCTAGAACCGAGCGTTACATGCAGCTAATGCTACAGCTAACAGGAGGAGGTAGGAGAAGGGAATTTTTGCACATAGATGTGACTAAACATGCACAGGACACTTGGAAAACACACTACAGAGCATATAAAACCAGAAAAAGAAGAATATGGGACCTTTAATGCAAACTCTTACACACAGCTGCCTCTGCGTCTTTAAGTCTGTAAACTTGAAATCCTTGTTGTTCCATGGACTCGGTGAATCTGGCTTTAAGACACGATGCACGTTAGGGGTGCAGAAATGCAAAATTTTCTCTAATCGATGACTCTTCCCAGTGTTAAAGCGAGTACTCAAGTAATCGTTTTGTAGTTCTTTTTTTTCTGTGATTCTTTTCCCCCACGGGAGGCCCCGCCCCCAACTATGACGCGATGCCGACTGTATCTATTGATCAATTTGAATCTTCAGGATTTTAATAATTGTTAGTAAGATGCCTTTGTATTAACATTCAAATATGACATTTCTTACTTCAACAGACAACAAACCTCAAATAAAACTTCACACAGACGTGTTATGAGCGTTTTAACACTTTATTATAATTAGAGCAGTGAGTGTGGTGAGCGGACGTGCAGACATCAGTGTGCACTCATCGCACGTTGAAGCTGTTTTGACAGAAACATTGTGTTAACAAAGACTGCAGTGTAGAGCACACTTTACTCTGGTTAATGAAGTTACAATAGAACAGGTGAACTGTTTCATCTTTCTCTGTGCGTCATGACACACTCGCTCAATCTCACTCGCCCGTCCGCTATGAGCTATTTCTCCCTATGAGGTCGTTCTGTTTTGTAGTTATTAAAAGAATAATCATCTAAAATTCCAAAATATAAGAAAAACATCGTGTTATGCTGCTCTGTCCTGGATGATCAAACGTCATTGGTTTGGCGAGGGTAAAGCGGTAATCGCAAAGTGAAAGTCTTCTCTTTCTGTGGACTAAAAAGACAATTTGAACTGAACTCTCATAGATCATATTGCATATTTTGTTTGTTTGGGACTTTTTGTTCATTGTGAATTCATTGGGGGGGTTATTAAAGGGATATTTTTGTTAGGGTAGCAGCTTACGGATCAACAACGGACGTGTTTCAGCACAGAGCCTTTTTTCTGTTTTGAATTAGGCCTATCCTAGAACCCACAATGCAACAAGAAACATTTCCAAAAATGTGGACTACAAAACAATTATCGATTACAACGGGTACCCGAGTACTCGTTTGCGCCCCTAATGCACGTGTTAAACTCTGGATTTAAAAACTTAAAGATCAGACATCGTGTGAATCAGATGCAGTTTGAAACCATTTATTAAACAAAAACTAAGAAATAATAATTTCTTTGTTTTCTTCAGTAAGAAGAGCGGGAAGCTGAAGTCGGCCTACAAGCGGGACTTTGTGAACCTGGGCTGCGACGTGGACTTCGAGGGTCCCATCATCCACGCCGCCGCCGTGCTGGGCTACGAGGGCTGGCTGGCCGGATACCAGATGGCCTTCGACACGGCCAAGTCCAAACTGGCCCAGAACAACTTCGCCCTGGGATACCGGGCCGGAGACTTCCAGCTGCACACCAACGTGTGAGTACTGATACTGCAGCGTAAATAAAGTGTGAACCTGAAGACTCCACTGACTCGTCATGGACCGTAGAGCTCTGCGTACATTCACTAAAGGAAGATTGAAAAGGAAACATCAGCCAGATGTCAGTTCATATTTTACAGACTGTGCAGGATTTATATCCCCTGCTTTGTGCTTCAGTGTTGACCAGAGAAGGAGACTTTTCTCAAGATTTTGACTCTTAATTAACGTCTCTCTCTCTCTGTCTTTCTCTCTCTCTCTATCTTTCTCTCTCTCTCTCTCTTTCTCTCTCTCTGTCTTCCTCTCTCTCTCTCTCTTTCTCTCTCTCTCTCTCTCTCTCTCAGTAACGACGGGACCGAGTTCGGCGGCTCCATCTATCAGAAGGTGAACGACGAGCTGGAGACGGCGGTCACTCTGGCCTGGACCGCCGGCAGCAACAACACTCGCTTCGGCATCGCCGCCAAATACAAGCTGGACAAAGACGCCTCTCTGTCTGTGAGTGCTCCGACTAATAGCTAAGATGACTCAAATGAAAAATGATGACAAAAATAATTTGCAGTTTCACTCGATGTCTGTCTGTGTTTCACCCCCGCAGGCCAAAGTGAACAATGCCAGTCTGATCGGAGTAGGATACACTCAGAGTCTTCGACCAGGTACGCTCCATGACTCTCATACACAACAAAATACTAAAATACTGTGCTGACGAGGGAATCTGTAAATGTATCAGTTTGTTATTTTATTAGATTCATTACAAAATTACTCACCACAAAATCTAAAAAAGATTATAATGTTACTGGAAAAGTCTCTCTGAGTCTCCTCTAGACTCACATAGAGGCGTGCAGACAACTTAATGAAGCAGTTTCATTACATTCACGGATATTTCCGTCATCACCCCTTTCCGCTCGCGCTGCTGCAAGTTTAAGCTAGTATTACTATCGGCAGGAAACATTTTGGGGGGGAATCGGAGTGAAAAATTGCCAATTGGCAGCTCCCCCGGATATTTTCAGGAGATTTTCGATTGAGCATTATCATTCAGCATGAAGTTAAACTCTAAACTACAAAAATGGACTTTAAATACAACCATCAAGTAAATTTTTTTTATCACTTAAAATGATTGTTAAAATGCCAGGAATGAAAGAACAAACAACAATTATTTATGCACTTATATTCAAATATTGTCACATTTAAAGTGCTGGTGGTGCAGTGGTGGAGGCTGTAGTCTTCCAAGCGGGCGGCCCGGGTTTGAAACCGGCCTTTCCCCCATGTCATTCCCCACTCTCTCTCTCTCCCTGATTTCTGACTCTATCCACTGTCTTATCTCTCCGTTAAAGGCTTTATATGCGATTTTTTGATCCAGTAGATGTCGCCCTTGAGCACCAGCATGAAACCAAAACAACTGGCGCTGCATTGTTGTGTTAGCATGCTAATGCTAGCGATCTTTATTATGCTGGTATCTTCACACTGCATGTAAATTTACCTGAAATGAGCGTGATCTAGAAACACAGTTAAGCAGTGAGTACAGTATGTTATTCTTCTTTTCTCTAGTCCCTCAATTAAACAACTTTTATACACGAGGGGAGGAGTCAGCCGGCCGTCCGGGCGATGTAAACAAAGTGAAGATAGGACTCTGAAAACTCTGAAAACATCACAGACAGTGGGACTCGGGTGTTACACCCATTGTAGACAGTCATGACTCACAGAGTTATTTTCAGAGGAGATACTTGATTTCTACATTTAAGTGTGAAAAATCACAGATAAAGCCTTTAGGGACAAAAAGCCCGAAAATAAACCTTTCAGAAAAAACACATAAAGTCAGATGAACCCTGCAGTAACCGTGTCTTCTGTCTCACAGGAGTGAAGGTGACCCTCTCAGCCCTGATCGACGGGAAGAACTTCAACGCCGGTGGACACAAAGTGGGAATGGGCTTTGAGCTGGAAGCATAAACTGCTCAAATCCAACCATCCAAAGACGGGAAGAAACACCCCCCCCCTCCTCCCCCCGAACAACGTCACCACACACTCCTCCTCCTCCCTGCCCGGCCCCCTCCCCTCACACACACACACCAACCTCATGTAGCCCCCCCTCACACACTTCATGAGCATTTCCGACAGAAGCAGTCGAGTCTCGGCATCATGTCACAGAAACCAGAGAGGAGTCGTGATCCTGTAAAAAAAAAAAAAAAAAAAAAAACGGACGGCGCATATTTAGGAATTATTCTCATTTTTATTGATATTGAAGTATTTTATTTCCCTGTAGGAAGAAGTATAGTCGTGGTGGTTAATGTTTAGCTCCTTAAAGCTTCCGTCGTTCCTGCCTTCTTTAAGCATGTGAGGGAAAGAAAAAAACATGGCTGCAGAGCTGAAGGCGTTGGTTAAAAAATGGTGCTGAGTGTCTGTTTTTTTTTTTTTTTTGTTGTTTTGAACACGTTCTGCTGCATTGTGTGGACTACTGAATCCACATGAAACACATTTCATGAACATATGAAGGAGTTACTGAGGCACTGGTGGTTTAAAGGAGAGAACAAATTAAGGCTATTGAAGCTTGCTTTACAGGAACACTTAAAAGTCTTTGTAGATGCTCTGATATGATCTTTTAATCCTTTGTGACTTTGTTTTTTTAGGTTAGGTGAAATCAGTGTAGTGGAATCTTCTGGTAGCTTGTGTAGTTAGTTTGCATTTCTACGATATTGTTTTCATCTATCCGCCTCAGCTCGGCCGTCACAGAGAAATGGAGGATATTCAGCATCTGCTCGGACTGTCGCGTAGGGTCAGGCGTCTTGATTTTGCCGTTTTCCTCGTGTTGCTGGAAGGATTGCACTCGTTTACTGTCAGCGCTCTCGTCACAATAAAAAAGACAACCCCACACACCCCTCGGATCTGTACTGTACAGCTCGATTGTCCTCTGAGTGATTCCGGTACAAAAACACTTAATAGGATTCGTTCCAGGTCGTTGTGTCCCACATGACTATCCTGTTTATTTATTTATTGTAATCATGAAAATGTGGTTTTTTTTCTCTCCATCTAATTGTGTCATCATGATTACAAAGCTCATTTTTTTGTTGTCACTTAGACACAGTACCTCATTTTTCCAATGTCTATTAAGGGAATTATAATAATAAACATAAAAAAAAAACTCTGAAAGTTGTTGTAATTCTTTTCTAATTAAAATATGTTCTGGATGCAGTGCCATCTCCTTTTTACATATTATATGCTAAGCTTAAATAATATAGCTCATATTTACTAGAAATAAATACAAAAAAATATTATAAGAAAAAAAAAATTCTAGATCCTTGCTTGTGTTGTACTTACTCTCTGATGTACGTTTCTTTGGATAAAAGCGTCTGCTAAGTGAATTGTTGAATTGTAGAAAATAAGCACATTTTTTAAATTGTTTAAAGGAGCAATATGTAACGCTGACACCTAGTGTTTAAAATGGGTACTGCAGCCCAGATTCAAACTATTGTAGAGAGCTCTCCTCCGCCTCCTCCTCTTTAGAGTCCATGCTCACACAGGTCACCATGTGGTGGACTCTGAAGCTTCAGTGTTTATCCAGCTCTGCATGGGTCTGTAAACCTTTCTGTGTTCTAACCTCTCTCCATTTTTCAAAAGCATCTCCAATATTGATCCTAGTTTGAGCACGTTTCTGCTCGTGGAGCTTATTAGAAACATGCAGAGGCTTTTTAGGTCGGGTACAATCACTTCTATCTGAACCACTTCTCTTGCCCGCTTCCATCGCTGCAACACCTGTTGACCTGATAACTGCTCTCATATCTGGCAAACCGAGGGGCGTCCAAAACAGCCGTGTGGGGGCGCCTTAAAACCGCCTTCTGGGGTCCAAACAAATCCAGAGCATTCAGGATCAGAATCTAAAGTTAGAAGGAGGACATACTGGCTGCTGCATTGTTGTCAGAGAAGCCAGCACTTCAACATAGCATGTTTCCTTAATGTCTGATCAGATAGTGAGCTCACTTTATAATTTCAGTCAGTACAGATCTTACTGATTGGACCTTTAATTATCCATGTCCAAAATGTTTCTTCTTGTCAAATATTAAAAATGCTCTGTTATGTTTTATAATCTGCAACAACAAATATATTGTACAAAAATATTTTTCAAATGTTTCTTTAATTTCATGTTACTCGCTACATGTAAAAGTTTATATACAAAAATACAAACTTAATACAGGACATGGAAACATGACGTCTAACTTACAGATCATGGATGTGAACATGTAGCACTTCCATGCAATAATAAATAAACCTTAAAGGCAGGGTTGGTCATTTTAAGCCTTAGGTTGTAAGCCTGTAAAACCTTCAACCAATGGTAGGGTCAAGGTACCAATTTGATGAACCAATCAGGCCTCCCTGCTCGTTCTCTACACAATGCAAGAGATGAGCTGAGGTCCACTTCTGAAACAATGGCACTCGTGCATGTAAGTGAGGGGGCGTGGCTTTAGAGGGTGCACAGAGGGGAGGGGGTGCAGACGGAGCACTGAGGGAATGCTACTTTCAAAATCATGCTATTTTTTGAAAAATTACCAACCCTGCCTTTAATAAAAGTGGGAGGGGTGGGGGTGGGGGGGGTAATTAGTCTCAAGTTAAAAAAAGATGCATGTACACAGTAGATTAAATAGAAATATGTAAAGAACCTGCAGACTTGCTCTAGCGTTAAAGCTGCATTACATTTTACATTTTCTGATGAGAGACTTCAAACATCCCAACATTACTTTAACTGATGCATCATCAGAACGAGTATTAGTTTCACTCTCCTGCTATTTCTGGTTAAGCTGCTTGATGACGTATGATTGTGAGTTATTCCAAAGGATTTAAAGGGTCAGTTCACCCAAACCATGAAGAGCTAAGCATGGTAAAAATACAGTTTTTGGTCAATGGAGTCGGGTGAAGATAGCGGTGTAGCTAACAGCTGTTTCTTGTTGAAAAAGATCCAACTTCAAGTTCTCAGACAGTTTGAATCCATATCTGAGCCAGTTGGTGTTAAAATAAACACTTATAATGACCGTGTGTTTGTCCTGACAGGTTACATGATTAAAGAGAACAGCTAACTGCTGCAGGCTGAAGTAATCGACCAGAGCAGGTAAACAAAACTTTCCCATTAGTCCGGCAGACCCAAAAGCATGTTAAAGTGAAGTTAAAGGCTTTATATGCAATTTTTTTGATCCAGCAGATGTCGCCCTTGAGCTCCAGCATGAAACCAAAACAACTCGCGCTGCATTGTTGTGTTAGCATGCTAATGCTAGTGATCTTTATTATGCTGGTATCTTCACACTGCATGTAAATTTAGCTGAAATGAGCGTGATCTAGAAACACAGTTAAGCAGTGAGTACAGTATGTTATTCTTCTTTTCTCTAGTCCCTCAATTAAACAACTTTTATTCACGAGGGGAGGAGTCAGCCGGCCGTCCTGGCGATGTAAACAAAGTGAAGATAGGACTCTGAAAACTCTGAAAACATCACAGACAGTGGGACTCGGGTGTTACACCCATTGTAGACAGTCATGACTCACAGAGTTATTTTCAGAGGATAGACTTGATTTCTATTATATATATATAAGTGTGAAAATTTGCATATAAAGCCTTTAAAGGAGGAGTTAGTGATGCGGGCGATTCAAACTTCTTCACAGGATTTTCTCACCACCACAGAGTCGAACGTCTTCAGCGTCAAGTCTGCTCCTCATTTCTTTTCTTTTTTTTTTACATTATTTCACAACCGCTTATGAAAGCTTTTTGGCTCTGAGTTTTTGTCATTAAAGTTTGGTAACCATGGAAACTCTCTGGCTCCCCTCGCATTGTTTTTTCTACAAAGAATGTGAAAAACATCCAGACAGTTCACAGCAGGTTGACCTTTGCCACCACCTGTTTGCAGCCTGTCTCGGAATATTCGCGATCCCCTACTGCGGGGTAATATTTAATCTCCCCCGCCAGGCGCTCGATGTTGTTATGATCCGGGTAGAAGCCCTCTCGAGTCATTTCATCCAGGAAACACTGAATCACGTGACCTTTCTCCAGCAGGCCCAGAGGGAAGATGTCCGCTTCTGTCCACAGCCGGTGCAGCTTCTCCAGAGTGTTTCTTAAAACAGGAGTCAGCTCTTTGACCAGGCGGCCCGACGCAGCCAAAGAATTACTCGACGAGTTGTGCAGCATGTGTTTAGTAATGTGTGTGTCACCCAGGTTGCTCAGGAACAGGTAGATGGCGTTCAGGTACTCGTTGGACTGTTTGGAGGCGACGAGCTGCCACAGGGCGTCCAGGATCTCGTCGTGCATGTGCTCCGCCTCGTCGAAGATAAAGAGCGGGATCTTCTCCTCCGACTCGGCCCGCTCCACCATCTCGGAGATGGTGGCGGAGAGGTCCCGGGCACACTGTGGGGCGTCGGCCTCCAGGGGGCAGTGGTGCAGGACGTAGTACTGCAGCACCAGCGTCTCGCCGACCACCGAGCGGAAGTGTCCGGCCAGCAGGCGTCCCAGGTGGCTCTTCCCCACGCCGCTGGGGCCGTGCAGCGACACCACCAGGGGTTTGTTGTGGACGTAGGTGGACAGGTAGTCCTTCAGGTGGGCTATCAGACCCTCCACCGCCCCCTGCTGTCCAAACACCTCCCGCCTCAGAGTCTTGTCCAGCCCCTCCAGGTCGTACCGCAGGACGTGGTCGTCCAGGTTCTCTATGGCGTTGTACACCTGCAAAAAAAAGGAAGATAGGGTCTTTAGAAATGTACAAACCCGGAGCCTTTATTTGTATTTTTTTTAAACCAGACACAGTTTGGATGATGGTCACCATATTGGAATTGTTGTCTTAACCTTACTTTCAGTCAATCTAGAAGCAGACGAAGAGGTGGAGCTGAGGCGGGCCTTAAGCCTCCTGACCAACAGCTACAACACGCCCACCTGTCAATCAGTCCCCCCCTTCCTCCCTCCCCCTCCCTTGTACAGTGTGCACCATTAATTAAATAGTTATTCAGACCGAAACCGTTTCCTGTACTAGGCTGTAAACATGTTTATTCCTTCTGTAAAAATCAGCATTTAATATGGGCTCCAAATGGGGATATCTTGGTTTTGCATTCAGCCTCAAGTAGAGACAAGAGGAACTGCAGTTTATTTTTTTTTTGCACTTCTGCATTTGATGCAAATTTCCGCTTGCTAAAGATCTGCCGATCCCTGTGTTCTAGTTGAAATAAGTCTTTTTAGTCAATGGAGTCGGGTGGCTTTAAAGAGAGTGATGTAACAGCTGTTTCTCCTTTCAAAATAAGCGTTGCATTTTGTTTTCCAGAAGCTGTTTCACCACTGTCTGAGTAGCAATCATGAGCTCCACTATCTCTACAGATTGCAAACACAAGAATGACTAGTCTCATAGAAAGCTGTTTTTTTTTTTTACAATGATTTGGATGTTTATCTCATCTCTGGATAACAACTTTCAGACAGTCTAGAAAATACACAAAGCAGCCTGTCACTGTGATAGGCCATGACATGCCATGATGCTGACATCGCCCACACTACTGAGGAAACAATCAAACAGTAAAAAAAAAACTAAATAATACTTTGTACAGTTAAAATAAAAAGTAAAAGCAGTAGAGGAAACATGCTCTGCCAGTCCATGTGTTTACTTCTGAAAATATTTCCGGACTGTTTTTTTCTTTTCTCCATGTGAAGCATTAAGATCTCGCTCATGTGCAGCCGCTGCAACACGTGACACATTTGTTTACGTTTGAAACCTGTTAAATAAAACCATTTATGATGCTGCAGGATACTCGACACAACAAAGCAGTCACAGCTGGATGAACTCCACTGAAAATAACTCTGAGTCATGACTGTCTACAATGGGTGTAACACCCGAGTCCCACTGTCTGTGATGTTTTCAGAGTTTTCAGAGTCCTATCTTCACTTTGTTTACATCGCCAAGAGGCCGGCTGACTCCTCCCCTCGTGTATAAAAGTTGTTTAATTGAGGGACTAGAGAAAAGAAGAATAACATACTGTACTCACTGCTTAACTGTGTTTCTAGATCACGCTCATTTCATTACATAACAGTTTCTACATCAGTGTGTGAATGTGTAGGTTTGACCTGCGGTGTAAAAAAATCTTTGAGTAGTCAGAAAATTAGAAAAGCGCTATACAAGCTCAAGTCCATTTACCATTTACATTGTGTTACTTTTTAATACTGATTCATGAATGTACCTCAGTAAAAGTTTATGTGACATCCTCACTCTTCTCATCAAACTCCTCCCCAAATAAAATTTTCGCCCCAGAGTTCCTCTTGAAGGAAATGCGATCAAAATAAATCGAGTAAAAGCTCTTCAAATTCTTCCGAAGAAGACTCAGTTATTTATTTTCCCACGGGTGTTTCAACCCAACACCCGAACTCACACAACAGCAAGCAGGACGAGTAAGTTCCCGACAAACAGGTGCATGAAAAGCACTTGTATCTGGTTACTTTACCTGCACAAAGACGATGGCAAACAGCAGATACAGGCAGTATTGTGCTCGGCTGCGCTTTGGCCTGGGCGGGCTCCTGCACCCTCCACTGTTAGGAAACAAAACCCGCTTCCTCCTCCTCCTCTTCTTCTTCTGAGTGGCGGAGGACGACAGGGAGGAGAAGGCCAAAGGGGAGACCCCGTCGAAGGTGAAGATCTTGGGGCTGGTTCTGCTCGGAGCTCCTGTGTAGGCTCCTGCTGCTCCGAGGCTCAGAGCCATCTCCTGACGCCTCTTCTTCAGGGCCGTGTACTTCTGTTTGATGCGGATGACGGCGCGCAGGGACGAGGAGAAGCTGGACAGACTCTGGGCCACGCTGTCTCTGTGTTTTTCATCGTCCTCCTCCTTCTTCTCCTCTTTCTCCATCGCTCCGTTTGTCTCTTCGTCCATCTCGCCATCTGTTTGAGAAGAGGAGGAGCTGCTGCTGTCCTGGTCGCTCATCTGCACAGACAAGAGAATGACTTTAAAGTAGAATACTTTTAGAATCACATCAAAACTAAGTATGTGAAAAGTTCTTGTGCAGTTCTTCTCAGAGGAGCATTTTAGTGCCTCAGCATTTTCACTTTTCATTCCAATCTGTCACTAATCGTTCTTCCTTACTTCAATAAATCTTATTTGGTGCCACACATTGCGCTGCAAACAACAACGAGAGGTTAGCAAGTAATCAGACCAACCTCCCTCATTTCTGCTCAAACAGCATGCTGAAGGAACCTTTTCGGATCCCTGAAAAGTTGTTCAGAAACGTCAGGAGGAAAAACAGCTTTTGTCTTTGTGCTGAATCTTTTGGGGACAGCTTAATTGACTGTTCAAAATATTGTATTAACTGCATTTCATACTCAGCGGCTGCACGATTGTGTTGTGGTTAGTGCTGTCTCCTCGCAGCAAAAAGGTTCCTGCATGGTTCAATTCCCTGGTTGGCCAAGGTTCTTTCAGTGTGGAGTTTTTTATGTTCGCTCCAAGCATGTGTGCGTTCTCTCTGGGTACTCCAGATTCCTCCCACAGTTCATAGACGAACTCTTTAGGTTCATTGGTGACTCTGATAACAACAATACTAATGCAGCAGCCAGTATGTCCTCCTTCTAACTTTAGATTCTGCTCCTGAATGCTCTGGATTTGTTTGGACCCCAGAAGGCGGTTTTAAGGCGACCCCCACATTGGCTGTTTTGGACGCCCCTCGTTTGCCAGATATGAGAGCAGTTATCAGGTCAACAGGTGTTGCAGCGATGGAAGCGGGTCAAGAGAAGTGGTTCAGATAGAAGTGATTGTACCCGACCTAAAAAGCCTCTGCATGTTTCTAATACTCTCACAATGTTTTGAATTTGGGCTGCAGTACCCATTTTAAACACTAGGTGTCAGAGTTACATATTGCTCCTTTAAAATACTTAATGTTGTCACAGTTAATTCACAATTTAATGACCTGTGCATTTATTTGAATAGTATTACCAAGAAGAGGAACATGACAAGCAGGCAAACAGAAGAAGAAGAAAAAAAGTTCTGCTCTGTCATACTTCCTCTCTGATATCAATTTTCAACATCCACTGCAGCTCGGGCAGCTTCCTCTGACCACAAACTTGAGCTTAAACAGTGCATTCAAATGGCAATGCCGAACACATTGAGAGGTACATACTGGGGCGACCATCTGTATATAATTCTAACATGTCTGTTGAAACGACTGCTGGGAACGGCTGGGTGGGTCTGACAGTCAGAAAGAGGGGAGGGGAGTGTGAAATAGTTGAACAGTAGGTGCAATCCTACGCTCAGTTATTTCCCCCTTGTGTGTGTTGTAAAAGCAGAGAACAGAATTTGAATAAGGGGAAGGAAAAGTAGTACAGTTTTATTCTATTATTCTATTAATGTATTTTTTGTCCCTTTATGTAACTGATGTACAAATGTTTGCTTTTTAACTTCTTGTTATTTTTGATAATTATATTCCTGTTTCTTGAGCTGTTGTGACAAAAAATAAATAAAGTTTATCTTTATCTTTAAAAGAAGGATGCCGGAGTAACTTCAGTTTTATAGCTCATACGATGTGCTGATGAAAATATGATGATGATGCATTCTGGGTGGATTCTGGGTGGTGTTCAAATGCATGAGAATTTCCCAGCAGAGAACTGATAAGATATCTTAAAATACCGCAGCTTACTCATCCATCAGCTCTTATATCTTTATTAATAATACTTCATTTCTGGGTGTCATCAGTATAAATCGGGCCTGTTTTTGCAGTTTTAAAGATTTCCACATGGACATAAAAATAGTTTTCCAGGTACGGATGGAGCTGCTGTTTTTCCCTCTAACACGATATTCAAATCGACTATGAAATACTTTGGAAGCGTTCCTGCAGAGAAGAAGGAAGTGCAATCCCTTCAGGAACATTCGCTGGCTGCATACTAACTCCATCTGCTGCGATGCAAACCAGTGAGCTGTTGAAGAGATTTTTGCATGCATCCTTTACTCAATGTCATTTCTGCAAAATCTGAAAGACAAAACCTACATGTGCTACTTTGTCTTTGTCATCTTCAATCCTCACGCTGATGAATCTTCAATAAATCTGGGGAAAAAATCTTGGATTTCTCATCCACTACGAGGCTGAGCAGCCACTTGGGTCATCAACTCAATGACCTCAACACCTTCAACACATGCTGATCTAAAACACAAAACCCAATGATTCCTTCCATTGATTATTTGAAATAAAATTTAAAAAAACATGCATATTTATGAAGTATTTTCTTTGATTTTAGAGTTGGTGTTGCTTTTTTTACATCTATATTGTAACTTGAAGACACATTTTATTAATGCACTTCCTCCTGTTGGTGTTGTTGCTTGGTATTTATGTACTTTTTGATGTAACAGAGGGCTCTACATAGAAAGTTTTTCTCACTTTTAAATATCCTGATCCATGCTCTTATGGAAAGTTTTAACAGCTCATAGCTGGACTGAATATGCATCCATTAAAGATATCTGTTATTAAATTATTTCCAGTTTAAACGATCATTACAGATGTCAACAACCTCATTCTTCAAATGAATTAATGTTTTGGATGTCTGCCATATATAATGATAGGTGTGTTTGCTTACATGTTTGTCTGCAAAAAAACAAAATGGTGCAAAGAGCCTGCAAAGTTTGAGTGTGAAATAATGGTCACTCACTCATCGTGCTGTTTTGTAGCCCTCGTGTGACTTTCTAGGGTTGTTGGTTTTTTTTTAAAAGCCTTACAGAAAATGAGAAACTATCAGTTCCACCCAGATCAGGTCAGGCCAAGAAAAAAAAAAAAACAACTACCAACATGCCAGTCAATGATTCACTGGAAAAAGTGTTGAGAAAGAACATCCCTTCATTTAGTGAAAAAAAGAAGCAGAGAGTAAAATCACGCATTGTGCTCTGAATTATTCTTGGCACTGACTCGGTGTCTTTTCTGTTTTCTGGGGAAGTTTTCCTACTCGTGTGTCCGAGCCTCTCTTTACATCAGCACAAAAGAATTCAGCACGAAGGGAGAGTTACAGTACTGACACAGGATCAGGGGTCTTATCTGTGTGTTCACAAGCAGGGACCTGAAGGAGCCGGCTGCATACCACACATTTCACCCTCACTGTGTGGAGAAAAAAAAATGCACATTTTAAGAGCTTTGTCTCTCCTGAAATCTGCAGGTTTTGATGCAAGGATATGCAGATACTTAAAAATCTGAAAACACACCCTGACAAACAGGTTGTAGCTTTATGAGGAGGCGTCTGTTTGGATTTTCATTATTTAAGAAACAGGTATCTACTGTACTGAATGCCTTCCAGCCAGCTGCACACACACACTTTATTCACTCTGCAGGACTGTATGCAAACCAGGAAAAGAAAAGGGGGGAAATAATAAAGTAAAAAAATGGAAAGATAAGTAAAAAAAACATGCAAGAAATAAAGAGTTTTCTTACCTTTAATGCTGCACAAGTCTTTCCACAGAGAAATAACTTGAGTGCTTTCAGGGTTTTAGTCCATACTCTGAGGTGGAGGAAGCAGAGAACAGCTCCACTCAGCATGCAGCTCGACTCAGGAAGAGACTATCCTATCTGCCTATCTTACCTCCTGATCCTGTTCTCAACCATCAAGCTGGCTCCGCCTCTCTTTATTCACTCTCTCTCTCTCTTTTTCTCTCCTCTCCAGTTTCTGCTCGTGGTGGTTTCTGACACAGCTTATAACTCATGTCTTCTCTCACAGCTGACAAACTTTTTCTCTATCACCTCTGTAATGATCTTCACAGGAAGGAGTTAAATTGTTATTGTGGTTTGGTTACATCCTGTTCTCAACCATCAAGCTGGCTGGCTCCGCCTCTCTTTATTCACTCTCTCTCTCTTTTCTCTCCTCTCCAGTTTCTGCTCGTGGTGGTTTCTGACACAGCTTATAACTCATGTCTTCTCTCACAGCTCAAAACTTTTTCTCTATCACTCTGTAATGATCTTCACAGGAAGGAGTTAAATTGTTATTGTGGTTTGGTTACTTCAGTTATAAGAAAGGATGTCCTCCTTTTCTTAGATCGGTTAATACGATGTGTTGATGTTCCTCTGACTTGTGCAAGAACTCACATTCTTTTGAATTTTTTTTTATGGTTTATTTTTTAGCTTTTTATGTCTTTATTAAGAGACAGGGTTAGGAGAGAGAGGGGGGGGGGGGGGAACAACCTGCAGGAGGGGGGGGCCACAGGTCGGATTCAAACCTGGGCCGTCCACTTAGAGGCCTACACTTATATGGGGCGTGCACGCTAACCACTAGACTTTCAGCACCTGTTTTTAAAGGTATGGAAGCCCTAAGTGGACATGCATCCACACATTGTATTATCTCTGTTTTCCTGTGAGACCTCGACTTACCGACCTCAAACCTCTAGAGTTACAAAAGCACCAAACAAGCGTAGAATTAGTCTTAACTTAGCTAATTAGCGCGGGTTAATTGCAGCATGGCAGGTGTGACAAGAATACTGTTTTGTTCTCTCTAGATCTTCAGAAAGTGATCACAAGATAAGAAGCTTTGTTATCCTGAAATAACAGGAAAAACAAGTCGAAACCTGAAGAAAACAAAAGAATAAGTGACTCCAGATTTGAAATTTGGTAAATGAAGTGTATTGATGCATGGGCTTCTGTATGAAGGTAGAATATGTAACATTTGTGCAGTTACAAGCAAAAAGATATATTTTGTTCGAAATGTATTTTGAAGAATTTAAATATTTTTCTAACAAGATAATGGTTGTAGGGCGTCAGATAACCTAGCAGTTATGTTGCACCCCCCCCCCCATGCCTAGAGGCTCAAGTCCTCATCGCAGCGCCCATGGGTTTGAATCCGACCTCTGCCCTTTGCTGCATGTCATCCCTCTCTCTCTCTCTCCTCCCAACATTTCCTGTCTCTCTTCAGCGGTCCTCTCTAATAATAAAGGCAAAAACGCCCAAAAAACCTTTTAAATTAAATATTCAACGGTTGCAAATCGAGCAAATAAATATATATCAGTAAGAAAATGACCGGCCTCTATTTTCATGACTGTGTTATCGGCTGTCTGCTGGTTTTAGTATCTCAAACAGGGAAGGGTTTTGGACTGTTGGGGAAAAACCGTGTCATTTTTTGTTTCTGGAGAATTTCCACCGCCTTTTCCCCGCTGTGACGTTGTTCAAACAGAAGGATTCATAAATAATAAAATGTGTGACTGTGATGGAACCATTAACTGTAAAAGCAGAGTGGGATTTCCTGGTACTTTCCTGGAAGGCTTGTGACCTTCATCAGGGTGATCGAAACTATGAGGCTGTGATCAAAAAATTAATACGGCAATATATCGTCATGTGCTCCTTCCAAACACACAAATAGATCGCCATCTGTACCGTGCTGTACTCAAGCACGATTGGCCCCTCCGCTGCACCATTCCCACGCTGGCCGGGCACGGCCCGCGGTCACACTGGCCAGGACTAACCGTGCCTAAAAGCACGATAACCTCTTGTACACATTATGAATGTCGTAATACAACACATGCTTAATACTTAATGTATTTCTTGGATCTTTGAGGACCTGAATTGAAGTGTTTGACGTTGTAGGATCTTTATGCCTCTGCTGTTTTCTCAACAATAAAGAACAGCTGTTTAGTGAATTCTGTGTAGGACACGGTCACTATCCTAAAGTGTAATTTATATCACGATATGATCGTATTGTAGGGTTGTAGGAAATACTCAGCCCTGATCGAAACAGATGAATGAAGTGATGAAGCGATGCTGGAGCTTTTTGAACTTTGTCATATAGTTGTGTACACATTAGTCCTAATGTTTCTAACCGTGTTCAGTGGTGTGTTCAGTTAAGCTAAAAACAAATCTAATGTACCAGCTGCTACTTTCATGAACATTTTAACTTTCACTTTCTTTGCACAAGATTTGCGGTTTTCTGGAGTTAATGAAACATGAGCAAAAGCTTTTTCTGGATTTGAGCAGTTCTTTGAAAAGAAGCGAACAAAAATAGAAGCAAACACTTTTGCTTCTGCGTTACTGTGATAGTCATTTCTCCTCAGTGAGGCTGGTCAAACAAAAGGTTTGAATAAACAATAATAACATGACTGGGCTGTAATGAGTGGGTGTAACTTTGAAAGGCCACGCTGAAAACTAAAAGAGGAAACAAAGAGGCGTGCAAAGTGTTTGCATTCTTATTTGATAACAAATAAACCGCAAAGAAAATAACTTGCATGTAGGCGGGTAACTCGGACATTATACACTATGTTACTACTCTTGTTATCTACTTCATTCTAAAAGGAGACAATGATTGATTTGGGTTGGAGTTACAACTAAAGATCTAAAAGTTGTTTTTTTTTTAAAGCTACAGTACTTTAGTGTACTACTGATCATAAAATAATATTTAAAGGTCACATATTATACTTTTTTTCAACCAGTGTAAATAAGTCTCAGAGCTCCCCAAAACATTTGTGTGAAGTTTCTTGTTCTAAATCCACTTTGATCCTGTATTTGATCATGCCTATAAACCCCTCTATTTCAGCCCTGCTCAGAACAGGCTGTTTCTGTGTCTGTACCTTTAAATATGTAAATGTGCTGTGTCTGCAAAACAACAAAATTGCATTTTGTACAGTATGTGACCTTTAAGAAGCAAATATCAACAGCTATTTTTTGTTGTGTTGTTTTTTTACCATAATAATTTTACTTGTTGAAGAGAATTTTATCACTACTGCATTGATCATTTTACTTTTTAATGAATGCTTTGTACATTTTTACTTTGAGAATTTTACATCTGAATAGTTCTTCCATCACACACGTTTGCATAAAACTTGTTGCATGCCAAACCAAGCAAACGTCATCTATCTAACATCTACCCAAACCCATCAAACCCACTTAACCATCTGATTGGTAGGTAAGGGGACTTAACGCTGCGTCGTAGTTGTGAAAAAGGAAGCTCTCTGTCACTGTGTAAACTCGTTCATGAGTCTTAACTTCCTTCTGTGCAGCCTCTGAAACGTCCTCTGTACACAGTTTACTCTAAAGAAGCTGCTGCGTGTAAACTGTTAATGTTGCAGTGAGGAGGAGGAGGAGGAGGAGGAGGAGGAGGAGGAGGGATCGGTCACACATGACAGCAGCAGCAGTCAGGCGTCTGAAGGGCCACAGTGGTGATGCATGCTGCTGATTCAACAGGTGACGTTTTGGTTTTTATTATTAGTAACATTCAGAAGGTGTGAGAGAAGGTTCTCATGGTGTGATCTGACGAGTGGGAGTGTTTTAAGACTCAGCAGTTTCCTGCAGAAAGATGATTATCGGAGGAATGTGAAACTAAAATCGAGATTAAACAGAAAAAAAATAATCATGTACTCAAGTTGGGGCCACATGGGATATTTATAAAAGTGAACTTTACTTCAACACAACCCGAGCTCCTGGACATCAAATCAACGCCTTCACTTATGTTTTGCCTTCTTTCTTTTTCTGTGAAATATTGAGCGACATTTAAACACTGATTCACATGTTAAAAGAATAAAAAGAAAAAGGACACTGAAGACGAGGGAGAGAGACAAACTGAGAGAAGGCCCTCATTGCAGCGGCCGTGGGTTCAAACCTGACCTTAACCCTTTGCTGCATGTCATCCCCCCCCTCTCTCCTCCTAACTTTTCCCATCTCTCTAAAAACAAATGTCTTTCACACATCACCACCGTGCTCAATGGAGGCCTTTCTGGTCTACCTAAAGCTTTTTTTTTTATTTCCGCTAGTTGAAATGTTGAAGGCGTCGGATCCAGCGAGCTGCAGGAAACAAGAAAAGGAAATAGGAGAGACTTATTGTTTTTTGTTCCTTTAAGGGTGTTTTTAAGGAAAGGTCACTCCAGTGTTTTCAAAATGTTGTTGCATTGTTTACAGGACAGCAGCACAGGCTTACACCATCAATAAAGAGAGGTCAGGAAAACATGACCCCGGAGCTGCAGTTCAACCCCTTTCAGCCGGATTGCAGTGGATTAAGTATTTATAGATGATTATGTTGGGTGAAAGTAGAAAAAAAAAACCTGTCAGTGTGCAAAACAAAGGCAGCACAGAGTGTGTTCAGGTATTTCAGGAGAGTCTTGATCAGCTGGAAAAGTATCGGTTATTGTGACTATAAATAAACACAAGCTCCGCCTCAATTTGCAATCCAAATGCTGTGGTGATTTGCCTCCTCTATGAAAATGTCTGGAAATACGTTACACCCATTTCATCATTTTGAATAAGTGAAGCTCATTAATGACCTCATGAGGTACGTCCTGACACATGGGGGGGGGGGTTAAAGAACACCTGTGACCTACATGTTAAACCTGCTCCTCCCTACACACTTCTTGTCATCAGGTTTTTCTTTGGCTCCTGTCCACACACCAGATTCTTTCTTCTCCTTTGTTTAAATTTGTCATCCTCAGTCGTTTTCAGTTTTAGTTCTGGAAATGATTTTTAAAAAATGTTTCGGTACTTTACTGAAGAAAACCCAGACATAAAAGTTGAATGAAAAAAAAGACAGACATTGGTTCATAATTTTGCTTTAAATAAAAACATTTGTGTACAAGCTTCTCTTTACACAGCTCTAACATGACAAAGAAGAAATATAA